TCACAGGTCTCACTAAAAAATCTATTAGGAAGCTGCAGCTAATTCAGAACGCTGCTGCTCGAGTCCTCACTAACACTAAGAAAGTGGATCACATCACTCCTGTTCTGAAGTCTTTACACTGGCTTCCTGTGTGTCACAGAATAGATTTCAAAATACTGCTGCTGGTTTATAAAGCACTGAATGGTTTAGGCCCAAAATACATTTCTGACCTCCTGCTAAATTATGAACCATCCAGATCTCTCAGGTCTTCAGGGACTGGTCAGCTTTCTGTCCCCAGAGTCAGAACTAAACATGGTAAAGCAGCGTTCAGTTATTATGCTCCAAATATCTGGAACAAACTCCCAGAAACCTGCAGGTCCGCTGCAACTCTGACTACTTTTAAATCCAGGCTGAAGACTTTTCTTTTTGTCGCTGCTTTTAATTGAACTATTCATATCTTAGACTGCACTGTAACTTTTATCCATGTACTTTTTTCTTTTAATGTTTAATTGACAGCACTGTAACTTGTATCCATGTATTTTTTCTTTTAATGTTTATTTTATTAGCTTTTCTTTTTAATGACTGCCATTTTCTTAATCTCTTTCATTTTTTGTAAAGCACTTTGAATTGCCTTGTGTTGAAAAGTGCTATATAAATAAACTTGCCTTGCCTTGCCTTGCCTTTACAGCAAACAAGGACATACAGGGCTTAATATGACAGGGCTCCGGAATCTACTTATCTTGGAGTTATTCACTGTGGCACAGAGAAGAGTTGAGCTAAAAAAAAGACTAAAGCTTCACTGACAAATGCTATTCTTATCTCTGCAAGGCAGAGGTGATAAGATACCCTGGGAAATACTAGACAATCCATTCAAACCCACCATGCAAGACATCTTAGTGATTCCCTTCCAAGTGCTCTGCAGCATGGAGAGCATTGCATCTTCAAACTAAGCTGTTAGTTTACTGAATATCATGCTCCAAATTGTTTGTGCACTGAAAAGGGGAGCAATATACTAAGAGTTTGAGACACGATAAAGATAAGGGGGAGGGGACAGACAAGAGAGTCAGCAATGTCTGAATGTATGCTAATAGAACGACCAACACAAATGACTTTTGCAAGTTTAAACTGTGGTCATACTGTAACATCAAAAAGCATGAACTTTGCTAATACAAACAGCCGTTTCAAATGCTCAGATTGATGATACAACTGATGAGCGTTTACCTAAAAATCAGTCATACAGTCTGAGGATTTGTCACAGTTTGAATGTCTTAAACATGACTTTGCCCAGGCTTTGGGGAATTTCCCCACGTTTCCTGGCTTAAATTAGACACAATGTATCCTAATAGATGCACCAGGTGACAACATCACGACCTCCTCGGCTCAGTAAACACCAACAATCAACACCCAAAAGGTTCAGCCGTGCAGCTACAGCAAAGGCAGGTGTCACTTCTCTCCTCCGCCAAGTCTCTACTTACTTACACAAGCTAATTCAAGTATCTCACAGTGCAGGTCTGCAGAAATGGAAGACAAGTTTACTGCCTGATGATCAAAACAAACTCTTGTATCCATAATTGTTTGTGAGCTTTCACTGACAGGGATAATGTTTCAAAGAATCAAATAATAGACAAGGTGTCAAGAATGCCATTGAGTCTATTTGAGGACCTGTTCGGGGGTCCACATTAACTTGTTTAAAAGAAAATGTGATTGAAGCTTCCTGTTGAAGAAAGAGTCATTCCGTTAGGGTTGTGATTACCTTCACCGAGGTCCATGATGGCCAGTACAGCGCTGCAGCTTGCCCCTCCCAGCTCGTTGGTTGCCATGCAGGTGTACAGGCCAGCGTCGCTCATGCGGCAGTCCCGTATCCACAGCCCGCCTGCATCCTGGGCCTCTGATGGAGGGAGCGGCTCATTGTTGTGGTACCAGGTGAGAGTAGCTTTTGGAAATCCTCCCACGGACACCCGCAGTCGGATATCACAGCTTGTTCCTACTGCTGCTTTACGGAGTTTGCGTGTGAAAAATGGTGCTGTGGGTTCTGATGAACCAGTATCCGGAACAATCTTGTCTTTGGTGATTTTGGGCCTCTTAGATGGGAGGCCGGGACTGGAGCCTGGACCATCAGCCATCTTGATTTCTTTTAGACTTCTTTAACCTTTTCTGGTAACTGATTTCGATGTGCTGAAGTTATTCTCTGCCTCTTCTGAAAGTCTTCATTGCTGCAGATGTTTGAGCTGAGCTGTTACACTGAGTACTGTAATGACCAGAGCACATCAGAATTAGATTACAAATATGTTTAAGTATATGAAACAGTTTGACTACATACACTTCTTGTTTGTTTATGTGCTTATCAGATACAAAATGACATCATTGGTGGATTTTTCAAATGGATTAAAAACACACATTTTGACATTATTGTGACAAATATTTTACAGTGACAGAATAATAACTTCATAATAAAAGAATGACAGCATTGGAGTGCAAAAAGCTTACTGAATTGCTACCTGAGAAAACAGTGACATTGTGTATTATATTGTGACTGGGTATTACAGCTTTGGTTTTAGGTCAAGATGTGTTTTCCAAAGCCTGACAAACTGGGAAAATGAAAGTGTGAAAATAAAATAGGTGGGGTGGCCTAAGTAGAGGTGCTATCCAGTTGCATTATGGGAAAAGTAGGATCGTTTTTTGGAGTTTACTGAGGGACAAAAGTCAAGATGTCTCTCTTTATCTCTCTCTTGCAATGTCATGAAAACTTTGAAAGTGTACTATATTTTTGGAAATGTGTCATTTGAGTTCATAGAAATGCCATTATCAAATAATACATTTTCGTTTTTGGATTTGCTCCAAATGTTATTTCATGGGTTTGCACTAAGCTGATCCAAAGCATTTCTTAAAATAAACCCAGCCCGATATTAGAAAATAAATGCATCTTACCTCACCCATTAAAGCCGAAAGGAATCCATCTGGACATGCCCGCAAAGTCCAAGGTAAAGTAACAAGATCCGTGGAGTGAAGTATTTCATCTCAAACCATTTGCTAAAGCCTGTGTCGCTACGTGTCCTTTAGCGAGCACTGGCTGGAGGTGTAAGTCCGCCCTAGATCATGTAGCATTAGCAGCCACTGCCTTGGTACCTTTCAACAGCTTCAACCCCGGTGAAGAGAGGTGGGACACAGAGAGAGAGAGAGAGACCTTTTCCCCAAATGTCAAAGCACTCAGGCCCTCTGCTTTAGTGTGTTTTACCTACCTTTGAATTTTGACATTTTTTAAACCTTTTTAGGCCTCTTAGTTCTTCAATCAGTTCATGTTATCTGTCTCCCTCTCTCCCATCTCACTGCTTCACCCCCAACTCCCTCAGGTTGGGAACGACAGCTGCACCACAGATAGGTCACATTTCTTGGGCTGCCAAGTATGACCTACACACACACACACACACACACAGGCACGCACGCAAGCTCCCACACTCCAACCCTTTTAGATAATGTTATCTACCAATATATGTGAGAGCGTGTGTGTGTGTGTGTGTGTGTGTGTGTGTGTGTTTGAGAGAGACAGGCAGAGACAGCATGCGAGTGACAGTTGGAGTTGCTATAAAAAGAAAGTCTAAGAATAAAGACAGAACAGTGATTCATACAACTGTAGGGCAGTGATATAACACTACAAGGCAGTATAAGTGGTTGGAACAGTTGTAGTAGACACAATAGGATAACATGAGTCATACATTTATTCACCGGAAGCCAATTTGTAGTGTTCTTATCAAATCATTTGTTAAATCCTTCCCCTTTTTTATACTCAGGCTTTTGACAAATCTATCCTCTTGAAAGCAACAAATAAAGTGTCAATAGCATCAGCATACAATCACTATATATCCCATTATCTGTCAATACCTGATAAAGCGATTGTGATTCGTCCTTCAAAAAGAGTTGTATGCCTGCAAGAAGATATCATAACATTACATAACATGTCTCTTTCGTCCTTTGTGTTATCCAAGGTTCAGTCACGCATGTTTACTCGAAATATGCTCCTGTGCAATTGTAGCTCTTCAGCAATCGAGTAATCTAATAAATGAACCACTGCAGGAAAAATAAGGCAATATATTTAGGTTTGAGTAAATAAAATATCGTTAACATATCCTCATTCCAATTAAAACCTTTCCTGTTAACGCATTGCTGTATCAGGCTTCTTCAAAATACCTGAAGTTTAATAATCTAAATGTTGCTTAGCTAATGAAAATAAAAAATACTAGTTTGAGAAGAGTGTGCTGCAGATACAAATGCTCACATGTAAAAGGAGGGAGTGTTCACAACAATTATACCATGAAGACAGTTTGGCTTTAAGCATGATTACAGATACTCTGCTTGAATATATAAAATATGGCAGATGCTATTTAAACCCGGGCTACACATTAGATACTGTACGATCTATCTGCAGTGCTGGGAGAAATACTTAGATATTTTAGATAAGTAAAAGTACAAATACTATGGTCTTAAAGTGCAACAGTTATAGCTAGTTATATGTACTTCAAGTATTAAAAGTATGCAGAATGGATCTTTTCACAGTATTATATATCATGGTTGTTATATTATCCTGTTTTTATACATGTAAGAGCACTTTAGTGTTGTAGTTTGTCAATGTGGACCACATGTAGTTACTAGAAATACTGTGTAGATTAGTAATACTGTACTGCATGTGAGCATATCATGTGTTTCAAAGTAACTATGAGTGTTAAAATAAATGTAGTGGAGTAAAAAGAACAATATGCCTCTGAAATGCAGTGGTGTAGATGTATAAAGTAGCATTACATGGAACCACTATTGTACCTAAGTACTTAAGTACAATACTTGAGTAAATGAACTTACTTTTCACTGCCTACCTGTTTTTTAATCGAGGTAAAGGTGCGCGTAATGTGTCGATCTATCCACTTTACGCATGCGTCAGCGTTGCATGAATCTTCCATACATTGATTTGTATCCCTTTTAATCCACAGTTTTGCTGCAGAACTACTAGATTATAGTTTACTACGTTGTTTACATGTGATGCGTTCAGCAGCTGAGCCTCTCTGCAGGAAAGAGTCACTCTGCAGGAAACACCCTGGAAGTCTCATCGTGCAGAGAAGCAGCACGGCACCGGTGTGGAATAACTTGTTGACGTTTTCTCTACAAACAACCTGCGCATTCTGATATCCCGTCAACATTGGTAAGTAAATACTGTTAGTAGACAGTGTTGTTGTTTTACGCGTGGGTCAGGTTTACTCACAGTAACGCTAACTTTTATCAGAAAGGTCTGTAAGTGTTTTAGTCACGTTCCACTTCCGTGTTTACAACCTCACAATGGCGTAGCGTAAACATTATTGTTTTATGTAAGACACTACATGTATATTGTATTTATATAGTTTAATGTTTACCTTTTATCTTTTTAATTTTAAAAGCTTTCTGTGCCAACATGTTTGTTGTCCTGAATACTAAGATAATTTAAATCTCCTGTGGTGCATCAGTCTCCTGAATGTGTTCAGAAACGGATTTACTTTTAACACTTTTAGTAACATCTATGAAGCTACTTGTTGAAATACACGAGATTCAGAACTACTATTTTCTGACAGGTATTTTGACAAATGTAAAGCTGTTTTATCATCTTCAACTCACTGAAACCAGTGGGGGAGGAGGCTTTATTTTAAGTATGAGTAGAAGGTGAGCTGATGTAGAATGGCTTGATTTAATTTCATAGTTTAGGAAACCGTGACAAATGTATTATTGTATTTGTCATAAAAAATCATGTTGATGTTTCTTGAGAAAATATATGTTTAATCAGTAAAAGGTACTTAAGTACTTAATGCAGAAAGAATACATTTAACCACTCTAAATATTCTATAAATAATGAAAAGGGAAACAATTACCACATACAGAAATACAGCAGCCATCAGTCCCTGAGATAACATCAACCCTTCTGTATGCCTTCCTTTTTTGACGAAATATTTGTTTCCCGAGGTGAAGAATATTTAAAAAATGCACAATAAATACCTGAAAAAGTAGAGAGAAAAACTAGTTTTTAAAATGTCTTAAACCAGAATAATCCTAACGCTGTCTTCCCTCTCTTCATTTGTCCCCAAGATGAGTGCAGAGTTTCTGGAACAAATCTGAGGACGGCCGGGTTTCTTCACTTCTGCTCTTCTTCCTCCACTCGTGGTAAAGTATGGCATTTAAAAGCCTTAGTAAGCGCAAACCTTTAAATGTGTTCAGAAAGTCTTAGGAAAGTAAAAACTTTAGAAATGCCATAATAGTTTACTACGCCATGCGTAATTTAGTGTCAGAAAAAGTCATAGTATAGTTTGCCTTAATAAAAGTCATAGGAAAGTCATAGTATATAGTATAGCAACAAATTCATAAGAATGATTAAAAGTCACAAGAATTTCATTACAATGTTTGCCAAAGAGAAGTTACAAAAAACAATTACATTTTTCATAAAAAGTTGTTTAAAAAGTCAGAGCAGAAAATCATTAAACTGCAAAAAGTCATAGAAAAGTTAATTAAATCCACAATAATTAGCTAATAATGTTGTTAAAATGTGAAATGCCTTTAGAAAATCATAAATAGTTTCTAAAAGTCATTAATAATGACGTATCAAATAAATGTCATTCTTTTAAAGGTGATTATTACTCGTCATGATAAATATAACTTAAACCTTCCTTCTTTGTATGACCTAGTGGCTCACCTGGTAGGGTATGTGCACAGTGAGCCAGGAAGAATCCTAGATGCCAGGGTTCGAAACCCTTTTACCCTGATCTACTCGTTCTGCTTTCCTACGCCACCTGCCTCTCCTATGCTACGCGACACTCCTACCCTACACTTCCTGCCTCATCTACGGTGCACTACCTGCCTCACTTAGTATGAACTACCTGCCTCACTTAGTATGCCTAACTCAGCTACTCCGAGTCTCGAACCCCGTACATGCTAAGCAGCAGACCTGAACTCGACACGGGCGCCTTAATGCCGAGAACAGACCCAATCCGGCCACCAACACATGTACATGAAGACCTGTGCTCCGGGCGCATTTATCTTCTTCATTTTGAGTAAAGCACTTTAAAAATCACTATAGCTCACGAGGACTCGAACACACAACCTCAGACTTTCTAACCCGTCTTCTATCCCTCTGAGCCAATTGACCAGTGACACATATCATTTGTTAAATTAATTCTCTATTTTGGGTTGTTAGACTTAGAAAATACATGAAACTCATGAGGATCGAACCCAAGACTCCTGCTCACCTGAGCAGCGTTGTATCCCACTGAGCTATTTCATTTGTGGAAGTCTCAGGTTGTTTGGTAGATTATGTAACAATGAAAATGTAAAAAAGGAAATAGAACAAGTTATTGTGCAGTGCATCCAATAAAACTATCCGTGTAAGTATGTCATACAATTGTGCCACCAACATTTATAAATGAAAAACTCTTCTTTACCTCATTTTGAATGTTTTACCTGAAAAACCAGTGGAAATAAAGAGGTTTGAATCAACAACCTCCAGTCTTCAAGGCAGTGCTTTATCCCAGGCAGCCATTTTCCCTGGCCCATATGTGTTGCGTTTGGTAATAATTCCACTTGGGTCTTGGACTCCAGAAAATCCCTGCACCTCATGGGGATCGAACCTTAAACCTCAGTTCACCTGAGCAGCGTAGTATCACTCTGAGCTATCAGATCGGAGACAGTCGTTGTCCAACTGTCCAAGACTTTGTTTCAAAAAGGAAATGTAAAAAAAGTAATTGCGTAGTTTGTCATAAAGCTGTGCCTAGAACAGTTACCATGGACACAAGTAAATGTAAAACTCTGCTCTTCTTTAATCTGGATGTTTAATATCACTGCTCCCTCTAAGAATCAAACTCACAACCTCTGGTCTTCTGATCCTTCTCATATCACTCTGAGCTAAAGGACCTGAGCTCTCTGTCAGTTTTCTGGTCGAGACTGTCTCTTGGTAGGGGTTGTGAAACAAAGTCAATGTGAAGAAAGTCATAGTATAGTATGTAACGGAATTGCACCACCACCAGATGTTAATGTAAAACTACAATAACTTGTACTGTCATTATATCGGGTGCTTGACCTTAAAAGTCCCTGCCAATGATAAGCATTGAACCCTCAACCTCCTGTGTTCAAGGCGGTGTGTTATACCTGTGAGCCATTTGTCCTGGTTTGACTCTGTGTCGCTTGGTAATCTAATTCTACACTTTGGGTCTTGGACTTCAAAAAACATTTGTACTGGGTGGGTGTTGTTTTTTGTGAAAATCACTGCACTTCATGAGGATCGAACCGAAGACTACAGTTCTTCAGAACATCACTCTATGAGATCTGAGACAGGTCTCTGGTAGAGTTTGTGTCACAACCTCTGCATGTTGGACTTTCAAAACCTAAGTATCGAACACACAACATCAGCTCTACTGAGCTTCCTCATAAGTCCATGAGCTATGAAATCTCATAGAAACAATATAATAACCTTTCAAAGTAATTTTCTTTGTGGTCGACCCAAGCAGGAACCAAACACTCAACCTCAGCTCGACAGACCACCCATCTTCCACTCTGAGCTATATGACTGAACACACTTCACAGTCACAGGGACACATTTGTTCTTCTTCTGTGGGAAATTGGATTTATAAAGTCACTGCACCAAATATGAATCAAACACACAACCTCAGATCTTCTAACCCAACATCTATCAGTATGATCAGATGTGCTTTCCATATTTGTGTTAGAGCTTTTGATTTCTTCTCTCTTGGTGTTGGATCTAACGACAAATTGATAAACATATTCAATCAACAACTTTATTAATCCCGCAAGGGGCAATTGGTTATGAGCAGCAGCTTATGTCATGAACACAGGCAGGAACATACAAGAAGAAAACACACAGATACACCCGGGAGCACAGATGTGGATCATTCCAATTTACACTATAAATAGTTCATAGCATCACAATAATACATAAATAATCAAGTTAAAAGCCTTTCACGAATTTAAAAGTTTGAGAGCAGAAGGGATGAATGATTTAGAAAAGCGATTAGTCCTTTGATCAGGTAGAGCATATCTACGCCCTGATAGCAACAGACGAAATTCATGTGAAAGTACATGACCTGGAGAGTTCAGAATGCTCTCTGCTTTCCGCAGAATCTGTTGGTTACAGAAGGAATTTAAGTCTCTCTGTTTCACGCCGATGATCTTGGAGCAGGTTTTAACAAGGCTGTTCCTGTCTTTCAGTGTAAGGCTATGGAACCAGCAGATAAACAAATAGGGCTCTCAATGAATGCTTGGTAAAAACGACAAAGAATGAAAGGCCTGATGGAGAAAGAGTTCAGTTTGCGAAGAAGGTGCATTCTCTGTTGGCCCCGCTTCACAATACACTCAGTATTCACATCAAATTTGAGGTGGTCATCGAAAATGGTGGCCAAGTATTTGTATGATGTGACAATTTCTACCTTGTCATTGTGTATGATGCACTCCTTAGGAACATCCTTGTGACGTCTAAAATCAATGATCAATTCCTGGGTTTTAGAGACATTTAAATCCAGAAAACTGTCATCACACCAGGAAATAAAATCAGTAAGAGCACACTCTGATTCTGAGCCGCTAAGGAGGGACAAGAGGGCGGGATCGTCAGATAATTTAACCAGGTAGCTGTTGTCTTGCATGCTCCTGCATTTATCAGTGTACATTATAACAAGTAGGGGCAAAAGAACGCATCCTTGAGGCGAGCCTGTGGAAGTGATGACAGAGTCAGAGAGGCGTCCATTGACAGACACCTTCTGCTCTCTATTAGTTAGAAAGTTTAAATCCATAAAACAAGTTGATCGGGCAGTTTAAAACGACATGATAGGCTCTCTACCACACTGTGGGAGTTGAAGTCACAACCTCATGCTTTCTGAGGGCTTCTTTATCACACTGAGCTAATCCATCTGACAGGCAGTGTTACATAAACATACAGTATGCAAATACAAAGCAGATCCTTGAGGGATCATATTGACATAATAAAAACATGGGAAAAAGTTGCATGTGATAAAATGCAAATCAATACAGGCGTGCGTGAAAAATAAACAACGGTCACACCCAAGTAAATAATGGCTGAAATTATGTTTAATGTCTTCTTTCACAGCTTTTCATAAACATATCTTATAAGCCAGTATATGGACAGTGGCAATACATTTAATTGTAATAAGCAAATCATAGAAACAAGATTACAAACCATCTCCAAAATTAAATAATCACTATCTTACACACTCTCAAAATGAATTAGGATCTACTTTAACATCATCAAGCCCACCTTGGATGTAAAGTAAATTAACATTACAACTATGTAAACGTTGTTTTTTAAATATATAAAGGTAACAGCTTTCATTTTTTAAACTTTATATACCTGTGGACATTTCTCAGTTCAAGCCGAGCACCTTGATCCACTGAGACTCTGAGAGAAAGTGCCACCACACGTTCAGCTGAGTTAATGGATGAGTAAACTTGAAGGACCCGGGCACGCTTCAAATCACACTGAATTTATCCTGCTTTTCGCTGCTTTGACTTTGAGGAGCTGTTGCTGTGGCAACAAGTCCTCCAGCCAAAGAAGATTGCAGTTTATATCAAATTAAACAACAAAAACAGAAGAAACTAAAATCGCCCCTTTAGTCCTTGTAAAGTATGCAGTTATTTGAACAAATAAACAGTGCTTTTATTTGTAATTTACCCTCGAGTGGAACAGCAGAAAGCATATCAAATTACAGACATCCCACATTATCTGAAGGAACCCACTCACTGCCATGATCTGTGCTGTTTTGGCCAAAAAACATTAACTGTCAAAAAACACACACTGATGTAGTACTTTGTCGCCCTCTTGTGGTGAAGACAGGTAATGGTAAGATTAAACATTACACACTGACAATTATGACCAGAAGCATCACAGCTATACAAATAATACAAAATGTAAACACATCGACATTCACTTTTAGTAGCTTACACTGATCCATAGAGACAAGTATTACAAAACGTATAAAATGTTTTCTTATTTAAAGCATTAATGGTATTTAACAGGAAGTAAACAAAGTGTGTTTCTCACCAGTTTGTTGTTTCCTGCTCTTCTTCCCAGGCAGGCAGGTCATCCAACTGAAGGCACAGGTATTGCTTTTGTTTACAGGCAGGAATTAAACACAAATACCACAGGAAAAAACTGATGATAATGGACAACAATGAGGAGGATGAGGATGCTCAGTCCTGATCAGTCATTTTCTTTCTAACAATACCACAAAATGCTATTAAAACGTTAGAATAGCAAGCATACCCAACTCTAAAGACAATTTGTTAGTTCAATATAAGGCTTGTAGTAACACCTGGTCTTTGTCCTGAGTAAAAAATGTTGAACAAAAACAGTTTAAACATTTTCTCTGAGACCGATTCATGGATCCAAGGCCGGGCAGATAAAGAGGTTTCCCTAACAGTATACTTGTGACCATAACCAGGTGTGTGTTAGATATGAGCGCTATGATAAGTCAGAATTTGCAAAGCTGACACTTCTGCATCCTAAAAAGTTTGCTCTACAGCTAATACTTACCAGGAGGTCAATCAATGATGTTTTATAATTAGGATTATGGAAGAACATGCATACTAAATACAGTGAGGCATATTTACTCATTCCTAAATCCAGCTCTGGTGACTTGACACTAACTGCACAGTGTAATGTTAAAACGATCCCTCATGTGCATTACATTAATAATGAACAATTTGGCATTTAATAACGCTGCAGGACACAAAGAAAGAAAACAAAAACAAGCAGAAGGGAATGTCCTCTGATACTGTGTGAAACAGATAATGCAGCATCCCACCCGCCAAGGCCACTCTTTGCAATCTGCCATTTGTGTGTTGGCAACAGAATGCTTTGCTTACAGACTTCCCTCAGACACAGATATCTGCAGAGAGAAACAAATGTGTGAGAATCAGGAAAGTTACAGAGGATAATCGGTTTTCTGGAGCTAACTGGACCATAAATCAGACTTTTTTGCACCTTTCTCATACAGTGCAGTCATGGTGTCCTGTGCTCTTTTCATCCTCGGCCCTCTGTGGGTCCACATTCTGGGACATGCATGCAGCGGAGAGGATTTGTCCCGGGAAGAGGTGTTGTCCTGGGTCAGAGTGCGGGTCCTGGAGGGCCTCAGGCTGGAGGAGCCTCCTTTAACCCCAGTGCAGGCTCCAGATAGGGACCCCGCACCTCAAAGGGCCGCCAGGGCGAGCAGGACAACGTGGGTCAAGCAACAAAGCAGTCCGACGCAGGAAACATCGGAAATTATTCTCTTCCCAAATTCTGGTGAGAAATATGCAGTTTTTTTAACAAGAATAACGCTCCTAAAACTTTTAACACCTTATTTATGTATTGCGCGCGCCAAAATTCCCTCATTTCAGATCATGGAATTGTGTCAAATAATAGGAATTGAAGAGATTCAGATTTGTATAGACTCAAATTATACAGACTCGAGTTCTATAACGAACACAATGGACATTACATTACATTTCAATTTAGCACTGTTTATTATATTCTTTTCACAACAAAACTGGCCAGTTCACACGATAATACATTTGAGATATTCAGTCTTCATGTCTTATAGGATGCTTGAGAATAAGAATGGACTAAAAGTGCAGCAAATCGATTTGGTTTTGTGCCTATCTGGAATTGTTTTGTGTCTCGTTATAGTTCCTTCGTGTCTTTTCTTGGGAGTATCTCCTCACAGTTTTTGAGCGTGTGTCTTTTCATAGCTGTTTTGCATCTCTTTCTATATGTATATGTCTCTTTGGAGATGTTTAGTGTCTATTTTGAGTGTCATTTCGTAGCAGTGGAGGTCAGTAAAAAAAGGTCTTAGGTTATGACCTCCTGTTTGTGAAGGGTGTTTAGACAACAAAAGGCGAAATTGCCCCAATAAAAAGCTATAAAACGTCCCTGACTGCTGTCTTATCTCCTTTGCAGACTCATCCTGTGCCAGATCTGACTCTGCAGAAACCGCCAGCAGCCACTTCACATATTACTTCCAGCCCTCCATGAACAGCCAAGAGACTTCAGTCACGTCTGCCCACTTCTGGTTCTACGCAGGCGAAGGAGCAGCCAACTCCTCCGCCCAGCTGTTCATGGTGACTTCAGCTCAGCAGCTCCATCAGGCGGCGGAGGCTCCTTCAAAGACGAGCTCAGACGGGTGGATGACCTTTGACCTGGAGCAAGACAATCTGGTCTCTGTGGCTGAGGGCCCCTTCCTGCTGCAGGTCCGCTGTCCAGCCTGTCAGTGCAGCAGCAGTGAACCAGACCACACCCCCTTCCTCCACCTCCACGCTCAGCCTCGAGGTCCTGCCCGCTCCCCCCGCAGTGTCACCATCCCCTGGTCTCCTGCTGCTGTGGAGCTGCTCAAGAGACCCTCTGAGGAGCGACTCGGCGACTGCACCAGAGCGGAGGTCCAGATCAGCTTCGAGGAGCTGGGCTGGGACAGCTGGATCGTGCACCCCAAGGCGCTCACTTTCTATTACTGCCAGGGGAACTGCTCAGCCGAGGGTCGGACCGCCACCATGCTGGGGATCAAACAGTGTTGCGCCCCGGTGCCGGGGACCATGAGGTCCCTGAGGATCACCACAACATCTGACGGAGGGTACACGTTCAATTATGAGACCCTGCCCAACATCATGCCTGAAGAGTGTACTTGTATGTGACATCTTAAAAAGGCCAGTTTACCCAAATAACACAAAAGGATATTTCCTGTTTTCTACAGTCTTTGAAAGATAATCGTTATTTTGGGTTATCGGACCAATTAGAGTTTTCCTTTTAAATGGCGTATTTTACAAACGAGTGTTACTAGCATTTTTCTCTTGCATTATTTGTATTTAGCCACAATCTGTAAAATACCTTAAGGCCAACATTATATTGCTTTTTTATTGTGTTCTGATACGACCTTTAGAGGGCAGCATCGGCCTATTTTTAAACCATTTTACTTCATATCCAGTCTGACTTCTGTTGTATATTATTATTAATAAATCATTGATTTAACCATGTTGTGTTCTGCTTACATCACAAGTTAAAATGTTTAAGCTCCTGATGGATTTACACAACTTTACCACAGAAAGAGTGCAAAAGCCCAACGCATAATGTTCAAATATATTTATTTTATTAACTCTGAAGACAAAATAATCTCTACAGTTACAAAAACTACAACATTTGCAATAGAAAAAAAATAAAGTATAAACCATTGGAGAAAGGTTCAAAAATGGAATGTCGTACCTTGCCAAAAAGTAGCAAAATCGGAAGTGAGATGATTACAAAAATACAGCATTAAACATCTCTTTGGCAAGATCCATTATTCCAGCCAAAGATCATAAAACCAGCTGACGGGCTACGAGAAAGTCCAAACTGAACAGTATTGATCAAAAGTCTCACGATGAGTTTACGCAGCTCTGGGTTGTGTTTTTTTCCATGATGCATAAAAGCATCCATGTTTCAGCACAAACAGAGGGGTGGTGGTGCATGTCAAGGACGGAAAATATGTCTCACCAAAGAAGAATGTACATTTCAAAAGACAAGGACAGACAATTATTGTTGATGGTAGCCCAGAAGACAGATGTTTCCAGCTGGTTAGCAAAAGAAAACTCACGTAATATTCTTCACATTTCTGCATTTAAGGACAATTTGTTTTTCTAATTACATCATTACATCATTTAGGGAAGAAGCAGAGTTACTAAATACCCAAGAACTAAGTGGCATTCATGATGCCAACACTTCTAAACAAGAACAAGGTACATAATCTACAGCTTTGGTCAGGAAATAGTACTAACAATAACTTCTGCTAAAATAAATGGTGTTTTAAATGAATTGGTTGTACAAAAAAAAAATATTCTAGGAAATTCCATGGAACATTTCCTGTCGATAAAGAATTCAAGCATTTCCCAGGTAAACATTTTGGCCAATTGGAGTAAATATACAGGCTTCAATATTAATCAAATATTTCTGAAATGGTGTGACTTGCGTATAATAAACACTGATAATCCCTAACATCAAATCTGTTTGAATTAAACATGACTTGGCAGGTTAAGCCGCACGGAAACGCTGCTGCACACGCTCCAGAAAGTGGTTGGAAAAAAATCTCTGAGGCCAACAAGTCTCGACAAAGCGAGACGTTAACATCTGACATTTTACAGAAAGAGAGCCTCTCTTGTGTGTGGACGACAACAACATAAAGTACACTCGCCCAGAGGAGTTTAAAGCGTCTGATAATCCTTACGAGTTCTGAACTGGATGAAGATTATTGCAAAGGCCACAAAAACAGAGTGGGCGAGAGACCGGGGTGCAGACAAAGCGCAGGCCCAAGGCACAGTGAAGATTTGGACGTAGGTCAGCGAGTAGAAACTGGAGATGTGGCGGGCTTTGAAGTTTAGAGTCGTGGGGATTAACCATTTGTCACAACACAGCTTGGTCAGCATTTTCTTTTCTTTCTGTCTGACCCCTAATACTGAAAGGCATCATTTCACACACACAAACACACGATTTGGTCTCCCTCAGTGGTCTGACTGCACTCCCATATGTGCATCCCCCATGTGTTTAAGGCCAGTAGGAATGTAAGAACAGAGGTTTGAGGCAGGAAGCACGCTCAGGCATGTATTCCTAGGAGAAGAGCAAACAAACATTGGGAATATTTAGCATGAATGTTCACTGAAAAAAAGTATACAGATTCTGGGTTCTAAAAATTACGCAAAGAAATATTTTTCAGATCTTTTAAATCATAAAAAAGTAGTGAATCTTAAGTAAGGAGTTTCCACGGGACCTTTCTCGCTAGCCTGCCCCTGCTTCTCCTGGGCGAAGTTGAGGCGGTTCTGCTCGGCGGCGGTCTGTGTGGCCGTGTGGACCTCGGGGCTGCTGCTGCGGGAGGGGGTCCCCTCGTCCACCTGGTAGGCCAGGTCCAGGTGCTGCTGGGCCAGCTTCAGGTGCCGTCGCAGCCTTTCCAGCTCTCTGGACGACTGCACCTCGTCCCCGAAGCTCTCCCGCCCGGAGTCCACCACCGGGGAGTCTCTCAGCTCTCCTTTCAGCTCTCCTTTCCTCTTCTCCTTCTTCATGGTGGCGTGGTATCCCGGTGGAGCCGTCGCCACGGATCGCGAGGAGGACGGCAGGGGGGTACGCGAGCTGAGCGCGGCCCGCTTCCTGAAGGTGTCTCGGATGCCGCCGATCCCCAAGTGGATGATTTCAAAGATGGTGAGGAGCAGGCAGAGGAAGGACACGACGTACATCACCAGCAGGAAGATGGTCTTCTCTGTGGGGCGGGACACAAAGCAGTCCACGGTGTGCGGGCACGGCGAGCGGGTGCACACGTAGGAAGGGATCACCTCGAAGCCGTAGAGGATGTACTGGCCGAAGAGGAAGGCGACCTCGAAAGAAGTGCGCCACATCAGCTGGCACACGTAGACTTTCATCAGGCCGTCACGCAGGATCCGCCGGCGGCCGTCGTGCTTTTTCTCCGAGGCTGGAAAATAGAGACTGGTTAGGATCTGACTCAGAGTAAGTATAACAGAACAAAGTGCTCCTTAAACTGCCACCTTACTTTTCTCCACTTTCTCAGGCTTGTCTTGTTCAATCTCCTCAGCGATCATGGGGTCTTCCTCCCCGTTGTCCTCCGCCTCCTCGTAGTCCCGGACGGCCCCGCGGCTGACGATGGGCATCCTCTTCTTCTGGGTGCGCACGGGCCGGTACTCGCTGTCGTCCATGCGGGCGATCTTGTGCATGGCGAAGCCCAGGTACATGATGGTGGGCGTGGTGATCAAGATGACCTGGACCCAGCATGTGCACGGTTCACACATCTGACACATTTACGGGTTTAAACAGAACTTCTATTGAAATGTGATGTGCAGCTCACCTGGAAGATCCAGAATCGCACGTGTGAGAGCGGCGCGAACGCGTCGTAGCACACGTTCTCACACCCGGGCTGCTGCGTGTTGCACACAAATTTACTCTGCTCATCGTAGTAGATGGTCTCGCCTCCGACGGCTGTCAGCACGATGCGGAAGACGATGAGCACCGTCAGCCAGATCTTCCCCACGAAGGTGGAGTGGTTGGAGATCTCATCCAGCAGACGAGTGAGGAAACTCCAACTCATGGTGCCAAGGTGACCGGGGAGCTAAATGAGCTCTGTGGAAAAAAGAAATTGAGGAAATAAAACCGTTATTCAAATGAGCAATTATAGATGTTTTGGCCTGTGGTTGAATTGCAAACCTCTGCTCACAAACACAACGTTTACTTTACATTTAACTAGGAAACAACTATAACCAACATTTAGTCAGTCAACATCCAAAGTGTGATATTCAAATATTTAACATTTAGTCAAATAGAAATGATGTCAGCCTAATATTTACCAATCTCTTCTATAATATATACATATTTTCTGGATTTCTTTAGATGTTAAATTTTTCTTTTGGTTTGATGGATGGTCAAAAAAAACAAGACCTTTGAAAACATTGACGAGAAAATTGAGACATTTTAAACTATTTTTACAGTTTTTAGTCCAAATGATTGATGAAATGAAATCTGACACTTAAGTCTCAAGGCATGACTCAAATAGCCCCCACTGAAGTAACAGAAGGGGTTCGCACCACCATGTTGACACATGGACAAAATCATTGAAGAACACAAGGCTAAATGATGCCCTGCGAGTGTTTTAGGTAGACCTCAACCGCTGGGCTGAGGGATGAACAGAGCCACGTGCTTTTGTTTAATCAGACAGAGATCGCAGACGGGCAGGTATCCATGCGGAAACTAAACAGCAGACATGGGATCAGTGCTGCTGGTCAGAGCCCTGGTAATGGTTCAGTGAAGCTACATTCTTACAGATCCTTGGCATGCTGAGCGCGAGCTGCTTAATCAAACATCAAAGTGTCGACTGGCAAGATGTAGCTAGCCGTGAGGAGAGCTTACGATACTAAAGCAGAGCATGGGGCGAGGAATGTATTTTCTGGCACACTGCCAGCCCTTTAAAAACCCTCAGTTTTACATAGCTGTGACACGGAGAAAATAACAATACTGGTCATTTTCAGTAGCCATTACAAGGGAATGCTTTTCATTTACAGAAAAAGCTTGAATTTTTAACAGCAACAGTGGAATAACAGCTAAATTAACTCAAGAACCTTCAGCAAAGTGGTTGTTGCAAAGACAATAACCAGCTTTCATGACTCATTGAAATAGCCTTTACAAGCTTACATAGGCATGCCTCCTAAGATGAGTTCACCCTCGCAGGGTTACTCATCCCCTCGCTTTCTTAGCATCTGAATGTGGCAATTTGGAGAAGGGATTTAGCAACCTGCCTGAGCGGAAACAAATTCTGACAAAATCGTAACCCTCATATGAAGGAAAAAAAAAAGCCTCACCAAAGTTGGCCAGGAACAGACATTGAAAATTACAGGCCTCGACACTTCTCAGATCTAAAAGTAAGTCAGAGGTTTTCTTCATGGTTAAGCTCCAGTTAAGCTTTGAGAAAACCAGATTCACATATCCTTATCTCCACACAAAAAACATGTCTGTGCCTCCGTGTTTCTTGGTGGTGGGAATAGATAATAGTTTGAGGACACAGACAGCTTTATGACCCTGAAATAAAGTGTGGGATGGGAACAAGTACATGGCCATAGGTGTTTCAGTAGCCTACATGTGACATAATGGAAAAAGCACTTTAAAAAACACAAAAGAACATGCATTGTCTCATACAGTGATAACATTTAAAAGCCCTGACAGTGAGTGATGCAGATTGGCCCTTTAAAAAGCATCCGTTCAACTTTTTTGATTTCCTGTTTTTTCAATCAGATATTCAGCCGTCTCCCCTTCAAACTGTGCTGTGAGGACACGACCTGATTCCCCAAACAAATATGTGCTGACCAAAAGCATCTTCTGAAAAATTAGAGGCATTACCGTCATGAATCCTGAGCAGCCTAACCACTAATTGTCGTCTAATATCAGTACAACCAAAACGCATGCTGAGCTGCCAAAACAAGACGCGAAAGGCTGACATTTCAAATTTG